TGGCAGGAGACACCAAAGCCACAAGGGTAACAGGGAAAAGTTGAAGGGTACATGCACACAGGCTGGCACAGACTCAAACTTTACACTGTCCATGCTCCATGTTGGCTGGATTTGGAGCTGAGGAGAATTTGCATAAATCCAAGAGTGTAGGCAGAGAAGGTGAGGCTGTCAGCCCTAATTTGTATATATGTGTCCTCAGACACTCTGCTTCATTCAACAGTTTACTCTCTGACTGCAAAAAATGCATTAAAAAACCAGGGAATGCTGTGGTCATCTATCCTTTAACTAAATATATGTTTATAAATCATTCAGCACTTGGAGATACTTGGTTCCTGATTCTTATGCATGTCAAAACCCATTGTAGCATTCTTGCAATGGCAAAGAAACTTTTCTGTGGCTGATGGCACAAGAAGGGCACGAAAAAGGGTCTGAGTACCAGTAAGAACTGAGTCTACAATTTTTAAGGTCAGACTTGGTTCCTGACCTGTGGTGAAGCACTCATTTTTACTGTAGCAGTTAAAAAATGAGAAAACAAATTTATAATAGGTGATGGTGGCTGTTCACAGCCATGTACTCAGAAGCTTGGGTAAAGCTTCCCCAGGCAGAAGGATGGGTCTGTCACTTCCAAGAGGCAGAACTGTGAGCTGGGGCTCTGCAGTGGGACTGCACACATGCAGAAGACATACACTGGGTTTCTACGTGGTCTGCAGACTTGTTAAAAGTATTTTGATTTGGTTTGTTACTGCAATTGCTTCTCTCCAACCAGGAATCCTTGAAGAAGTCTGAAGTGCTCAAATTCTTGAGGTGGGAGGGAGGGGGGAGGACAGGGAGGGGAACAAAAGACACAACTGAAGAAACTGAAGGTAGGGTTCTATTTACTCTGAACTAAATAACAGAGTAGAAATCCTCAGTGACTTGCAGAAAACCCATCTGCTTCAATGGTGAAATCAAGATTCTCACCACTTCAGTGGCTGAGGGCAGGAACAGAACATAATGAGCAAGAAATAAGAAAGTCTTTGAGAATTTTTACCTCAAGCTGGAAGCATTTTGTGTTGCTGTTTTGGGGAGTCCTTTATTGTTGTCATATGGCATAAGGCGCTGAACATCAAATATGTTTAAAAGGACTAAAATTCAGAAGAGCTGTATAGCTAAGGTTTATCACCCTTAATGTTCCTCTTTAAAGTGTCCCTGCAGTGCAAAAGGTGACTTTGTAAATACAGAGTTTTTGTGTGACATTCATTTTCCCTTTCACTTTCATGTCAGCTTTGCTGCATTTTACACAGCTACACTTCTAGGTAATCCTCAGCATGGTCATAGCAGTGTGGCTTAAAAAATCCAACCTGGAATTATTTCTTTTTTCTCAGAAGTATTTTTACCTTCTTTAGAGACCATTTCAATAGCCCAAGATAATTCCTAATTCTATATCTAGCAATTCAACTTATTTATGTACAGAAGAGCAAGGATAGACTACAGTCAGCCAAGCAGAGCAGAAGGCTAAAGAAACACATCTAGAATAAATGCTTCAGGAAAAAGAAGCCTCCCCTAGTAATGACATTAACCTGAACAGCCAAAGGGGCATTTTGCCTAAGCCTCAGGCCATGAAATTTCATTTAGTTTTCACTCACCACTCTCATCACCTGTTTTCAAAGTCATGTATTTGAAGCGAGTTACCTAACTCCGCATCTGGGCTCACAAATAGCTGGGATGAATGACAGAAGCACTTAACCCCACCACATTTACTAAAGAACCCAGAGGTTTAGATACAATAAAAGCTGTAACATTAGAGTCTTAGCTGAAATATTCAAAAGTGAGTTGAGATACTTAATGACCATCTTTATTTTCTGCAAGTGCAGAGCATTCGCCTTAAGTAAAGCAGGCTCTTCGGAGAGCATAAGTTGAGCAATTGATATCACAGATGGTTTTTAACATGTTGGTCCATAGCCTGAAAAATGTGGTTTATATTTTTAAAACATGACCATATCTAACGAACTTGTTTAAATATTAGGTAGAACAGCCAACATGAGTTGGAAGTCATAGGAGAGACTATGACAGGATACAGACACAGGAGCCCATGGTGGGAATGTACTACAAGCCAACTCGTACATTTTAGAACGAAAGTTAATATTGACCCAAACCAGAGTTTTCTTTTAGCCCATTAAAAAGATGCACAATTCTACAAACTTCTCAGGTAGATCTAAAGCTGTGAGAAGGGGTGAACTTGCATCAGATTTGGGAGTAACAGAATTTAGTTTTCGGTCCTGGTCTCTCACAAACAAATACATGTACAGTAAATATATATGCACTGTTACATATTCACTTTTCACAACTTTGCCTTAAAGTAGGAGGATGCTTTAAAAAATGCATTAAGCTTGGCAGCTGGAAAAAAAATTAATAATAATAAGGCTGATCTAACTTTTCAGAGTACAGAAGATTTTATTTCAACTTGAGAGGTATCGAACTTCCGCCATGGAAGATCAAGATCATCAGTGACAAGAAATGGAAAAGCTGGTAGACAAAAGCAGAGTGTGTTTGAAATGTTGCTGGAGTATTAAAATGTTAACTCTAGTTGACCCACATGCAAGGCTCTAATCTAGAAGTATGAGTTATGCTGCAAGAACAGCATACTTTCAAACAGAGCTTGGTGTTATTGCCCTGTCTGTGGACTGGTAAATTAGTCACACTGTTCCCGTATGAAAGAGTTCAACAAAAAAAAAGAGACTTCTTGCAAAACTGAGGTTTTTGTCTTCTCACTTATGAAATCAGAAGCTTGGTCTCCCACCACTGTGAACTATGCCAGCCACATCAGTCCTCATGCTTCCATGGAGTTTCACCCTTAAGGTCACAGTGGTTTTTTGCTGTATTGTGTGGGGCAATGCAGGCAGGGTTTGCTGCTGCACAGTTAAGACCAGAACACAGAAATGCGCTGTGGCAGCACATCACAAAAGAATTACTCATTCTCTGGGTTAAGTACCAAAAGGTCTTTATCTCAGGAGTTAGGTCTACTAGGACCAAACACTGGCAAGCAGCTTATTGCCTTATTCCCCTGCAAAGCAGAGAATGTCTTTAGTAGATTTACCTCGTCCCTCATCTGCTTGTCACAAAAGCTGAGCACAAGCTAGTACCCTTCAAATCTTCTGATGTTCAGATTGGAGATAAGAGGATCAGAAGCATGGCAGTCCAAATTCAGAGAGACAGAGCCTGAAAATGCATGCACACAGCCGTTACCTTAGCTGCACTCATTTCCAGAGCAAAATTTTCAATACTGCAGACACCAAACTCAAAACACACTTTGAAAACAATTCTAAATAGCAACATTATGTCACTGCAGCTATTCCTGTGCTGTGAGATGCAAAAAAAGAAATTATTCAGAAATATCACTATCAAACCTATTCATTAAAATGCCCTTTTCTTATCTCACCATTTTGTCCTACTTGGAACTCATAAAAACAGTGAGGTTGACAGGATTAGGACGCTGCCTTGGAACATGACTATTCCATTTGAGCAAACACCATGCAGTGTTCCCTCTACCTCATGCACAGTTTCTTGGCATGTGTCTTAAGTACAAGTCAGCTGCTCTTCACATTAGTACAGAGCAGGGGCAAAAGCATTGAAATGCAGTCATCCCATTTTCAAATTTCTGATCCATACAAGACTATCAAGCCACAGGCTTGATATTGCTGCTGAGGCCTGCTGATTTCATGTGCTACTGCAGCTGCATGTAGCCCACAGATGTTCTGAACCCATCAGCCCATGTAAAGGAGGTGAGTTGCTCCTATTTGCCTTCAGTTTCAGCACTAAAGGAAAGTACAGGTAGATGCTAAAGGTATCCCAGAAGGGTATCCCAAACAGCACAAGTGACCAAGTCCACCAGTGGGCTTTCAGGATTTTTCATCAGACTTGGGGCAGGTGGTATGACTAGCTACTGATGTTCCATGGATAACAGCAAATTGCCACAATGTGAAAACAAAATTATTTTCAGTCCTTTAATCACACCCTGACAGGGCCAGAAGAAGAAGTGCTGACTCCTGGGAATGGCCAAAGCTCAGAAACTTCACTCCTGTTACCAGAGGCAATGGCTGTAGGTGTGCTTTGAGGGAGCAGCATATAGGGATGGATTCAGCATTCCCTAAGCTGCTGATTCACTCCCTATTACCAGTCTGGATGGACTCTGAATGGGTGAGGAAGCCATACCATTCACCAGAGAACTGTGTCCAATTGGAAAATTAGGTCTTATATGTTTATGGCTAGGAATGTAGACATTTTCCCTAGAAACCACCTTCTGGTGGTGGGCAGATAGCTTGCTACAGTCACCTGCATGAACTGATTTAAAATGGTACGTGGATTCCTTCCAGTGCCACTGTGATGCTTGGTCCCACAGTTTTAACAGGTCTTCAAGACACGATTTCTCTGCGCGTCTGTAACATGCACACTCCAGTTCTCCATATCTGTTTTCTTTCAGTTGCCATCAAACAGCCCTTCCCCACACCTCCAAAAAATAAAAATAACAAAGCCAACCCCACTTATCTTAAATGGCAACTTCATGCAAGGTTTCAACCCAAGGTTATTTTTTTCCACCAGTTGTTTCTCTGAGAACAGATGGCGCTTGCAATGGTTGAGGATATATCCTATTTTTAAGTGTCATATGTTTTTACTCTTCTGCAGTGGACTCAGCAATCAGAGGAAAATGCCACAAGAGATGGGTTTTTTTACATGATATACAAACCACGCTGTCTCATGCCATTCAGGAAATTATCTCCTATTGCAAGTGCCCCAGCAGCCAGGGTGACTGTATCCACCCTTCTGGTGCAACGTTTCCTGCCAGTAATGGATAAGGAACAACTGCATCCGGCAGTGCCAACTCAGCAGAGCACCCAAATATTAACACAACAAAACCAGCAGTGAAAAAGTTTAAATTTACACGCCATGCCATGATCTCTAGTATATGGTGTCCCAGAGAACAGCTCCACCTTTCACCACAAAATTCAGTATGATGAGAATACCTCATTTGTTGCTTGATTTTCTTTTTTTGGTATTTTATTTTCTTCTGCACACATCATATTTTGACAAGGTAGCAGCTCCCGTAGAACAGGAGAAGCAATGAAAAACGGAGTCAAGATCTGGCATGCTATTTAGGTTTGTTGTTATACTGCAAATTCGTAGGATAAAGTCAGCCTGACTTTGCAAGTAACTGCAAGCTCAGTCTCCCTCTATTTTGATCCATCTGCACAAGAACCCACTCTTAAAATGGAAAGCCACCTAAAAAAATCTGAGCTTAAGCTTTTAAAACCTGCTAGAGAGATTAGACCATGTTTTGGACTTTGCTAACATGGCTAAACAGCTTCTGGGTCAAACATGGCTTCTACCCAGCAGAGAAGAGCTCATATCAATTTGCAAAGGCCTGGATGTATCTGAAGTTAGTGTTTGAAAGTAGCCACACAAACAGGGCAAAAATGCTGTTGTGAATGTTTAAAAGGCATTTTAAGAATTTAAGCACAGCCACAGTGACTCATTCACCAAGGAAACACAAAAGTTGACATCTATAAACCTCTGCCAAAGGCCTTTGGGATGCCACTGATGCTATGAGCACCTCCACTTTGGTTCATGCTCCCGAATAATTTCCATTTTGTCTCTTTGTCAGGCTGAACACTGAAGCAGCATCAGCTCAAAGGCAGCGCTGCCTAAGGCAGCTCTGGCTGCCTCCTTCTCTCACTGCAATCCCCTCGGGGCTCAGCAAGCCCTGCCAGGAACTGGAGGCAAAGGCTGGTGTCAGTGGCTTGAGGAAGGGATAGTCAATGGCACTGGGATGGATCCTCTCACAAGACTGAAATTCAGGAGAAAGGAAAATTAAATCAATCCGGAATCAAACTTCTCGTGTGAATTCAAGCAGAAGGAGAATGAGGAAGGAGGAACTTTCTGCATGTATGCTTCACACCCAGTCAGTGGGAGTCAGGAATGGAGAGTCCCTTATTATTTTCCACTAGTTCCAGGTATTCAACTAGGACACTGAAGACCAGGGTGCTCCTTTCTGATGAAACAGGAGCAGGATTTGATCTTAAGAGAATTTCTCACCCACCAAACTATTTTGAAGTCAGAGATAGAGGACTTTTGAGTCTCTCCTGGTTCCTCTTCTTCTAACAAAGTGTGGGTGTCTGCTCCCTGGCTGCTGTGATACCAATTCTCACTCTTTTTGGTCCCATGAATATGCACTCTTTGCCAAAACCTCAAACTGATCTTCTGCTCTGCTTTCCTGTCACATGGAACAATAAGAGATTTTTAGATGCCCACAACATTTGGAAAAACACAATGGAAACATTACTGAGAGATTTACTGTTTGCTTACTTCTGCATAGTTTTAAATCAACAACTTCTTGTAACAGAGAAGTCTCAGAAGGAAACAAAATAAGATGTATTCCTACAGAAATGAAGCTGCTTTACCATAAATACCATAGGCAAAAATAATAAAACCTCTTGGGTACCCTTCCAGCCAGCTTATGTAGTCCACTCCCTTAATGCCAAAGTTTAATGTCTCTGCCGTTAGGCTGGGTCCTCAGAGTATGTCACAGTAAGTTTGAGTGAGCACATATGAGAATTGCTAGTAGGATAAATGTCCTTCTGGTCTCACATACACTTATTTTCTTGCTATTTTTCTACAGCACTTTAAAAGCCAGTCTTGCTAGATACTGATCTCCATATTAGTGCTATTTTGTAGCACATTGCTTTGAACTTATGAGGCTGCTTGTCAAAGAAAGTGCTCAATAAAGTCCATCTTAAGAAATCACATTACCAGAGAGAGCAAAATCTGAACAAAACCTCCCATTTCAGGCAAGCTGCAGAAGCCTTCCTTCTGAAAGGCCAAGAGCATGGTTCATAACCCTCAGTTCAAAGAAATAAACTGTTTCAATTTCTATCCCTGAAAAAGTCTGGAGATGCCTGTGAAATCCCTAATTCTTTACCATGTGTTGAATACTCCAGGATCCGATGTTCAGTTACACAATGTTTTGCCACCGTTTCCAGCCTCCTTCAGTGTACAGGATGAATTCAGCTTTGGACACAAATGGGGCATGTTAAAGTAGAATCTGGTCTGATAGGGCTTACAATCACATGTGTCATGCTACCCTTTGATGATAAACCTGGAGACAAGGTACCTATCCAAACACAAGGTGTCATTGACTGCTTCCCTGCATACTCACACAGATCTGGAAGCTTCATAGGAAAAAGCAAGAGCCTCTTGTTGCCCTAAATCCCTTCCTATTAGGTCATTAGAAGAGTGTGGCAGCAGAAAGGAAAAAACACCTATGTGCCAAGTCCTGTATATGGGAACCTCTGGAGCTGTGACAGAAGTCCACAGGGAAGTTATGGAAATGTTTCAGGTTTTGCGGAGAAACTTCTCTTGTTCAGTCCCAGAGGTCCTCACCCTAAAATTGAGCAGTGTAGAGAGGGGCTGATACTCAAAAGTGCCCATGGTCAACATCAAAGAGGGGCACAGTCAAAACATCTGACCTGGAGAAGAGTTGTAATTCCAACAATAAATTTGACAGAGAGATGGAGCAGTTTCCCAAATTGCCTTCAAAGGGTAGGCTTGTAGTAGTGGCAATTCGTACCACTATGAAAAAATATATTTTACCCATCTCTAGGCACAGCTTTTCTACATCACAGAGTTGCCCAAAACTTCTAATCCAGCATCCTCAATGTACTTGTGGTTCATTTTCCAGGTGTCCATTTTGGGACATTTGGTACATGAATAACACATAGGAATTCCCACCTCCCACTGAAGGTCAATGTGAGCTGTGTTTTAATGTGAATGCAAGAAGATAAAAAAAATTACAAGTACCTTGGTTCCTCATATCCCAGATACAGAATCGAAGATCAGTGGGCACATCAGGCAGTAACAGCTATAACATCTGCATCTCTGGCTCACGAACGAGGACACCTCACATCAGTGGAGAGCTAGCTGTGGGCAGAAATCCACTTGTGTCCATTAACAGCTTACAAACTATGATCAGAGCACTTCCAGTCCCCTGAGGAAGGCCCGTATTCAGTGCAGGGTTCAGAGGGTGTGTATGAAGCAGTGTGAAGGAGAATAAAAGGAAATGAAAAAGCACAATCTGCCTGGACAGAGGTGAGAAGTCCAAAGAGAGAAAATACAGTATGACCACCTACACCAAGACTGGTTTAATGCAAACACACACACACACAGCAGAGGAAAAGGATGGGGAGACAAATCAGGGATTTGGACAATTGAATTTAAACCAGGCACATTTAAACATTTAGCATTTGGTATTAAGAAGACATATAAACATACACACACCTATACTGAAAACTGATTCAGACAACTCCTACCACTATCAAAAATATATATATATATTTATATGTTTGCAAATTTTCAGCCAGGGCTACTCTAGCCTTAGCTCCTTTCCCCTGTGGACATAACTCATACGTGGTATACTTAAACAGCTCTAGGCAGTGAATTTAAAATACTGTTTTATTTACAATTCTATAGCAAATGATTCACCATAGATAAACGTCAACCTTTCCATTAAATATTCAACATTTGGTAGTTTGCTCCTGCTGCCATAAGGCAATTCCGTGGCAGTACCAGGGCTTAGATAACAGCAATAACTGCCTTAGGATTGCTTAGAGTATCCACCTCTGCAATAATGCAACCTATTTAGCAAGAATAAGCATTTTGAAAATGACTTGATTTTCCCTTCAAGCAGCACTGTGACCTAAAGTTCATCATCAGGTACTGAAGCCTCTTTGATGCTGAATAGTCATCTGGTTCATTCCTAGGACTGGTCAAGTTCAGTGGGTGGATGGGCAGAGGTCAGTTGTATGAGGTTCAACAAGGTGAAATTCCTATTCCTGCATGTGGGTCACAACAATCCCATCCCATGCTACAGGCTTGGGGAATAATGGCTGGAAGGCTGCCCAATGGAAAAAGACCTGGGGGTGCTGCTTAACAGAAGGTCAACAAGAATGCCAATCCTGGCTTCCTGGCCTGTGTAGCCAGGAAAGGACCAGGATATATTGTGGCCAGCAGGACTAGGGCAGTGATCATCCCTGTGTACTCAGCACTGCTGAGGCCACACCTTCAATCCTGTGCTCAAGTTTGGGGCTCTCACTACAAGAAAGACACTGAGGTGCTGGAGCATGTCCAGAGATAAACCCAAAATGATTGTAGATAATAACATATACTGCCTCACTCACTGCTGAAGTACCAGTAAATGCACACACATTTTATACAATAGCAATGGGAGATACTGATTTTGTCCTGAACATGGAGCTAATCATGTAACTGGAAAGACTGGAAACATTTCTGCCAAGTTTCAGATATTCTACATAGATATATTCTCCAGAGAGTCTCACTTTTTTTTCCTTCTGTTGGTCTTGCTCAATCATACACAAAAGTAGGGAGTTTTATTTCAGTTGAAAACTGAACAAGATCTTATTTCAGGCACTTAATACAAGTGACTGGAAGCCGTTGCCTCTGAAATCTTACCACAAACAACCACAGAGTTCTACTGACCTGGATTTTTCTCTTAGCTGATGTTATTCCACATATATGGTTTATTACACAGAGGAAAATCAGGGAGCAGTTTACACTAATGTGTCTTCCTGAGCTGTTGGGACAGGTTACAAGAAAGTATGTGTTCAGCAGCCACACATTAGCTGACTGATGAGAATTCTCTGGGTCAACCACACTGAACTAGCAATTTCCAGCTTTACAGAAATATCTGTTAAAACAGATGCTAAGACTGATAAGGTCCATGCTGGCTTTAATGCTGGCTTTTTGAACAACAAAGGAGAAACTTTTACCTTTTATAACCACTAGAAGAAATTCACTTATCACTGTGTATTTGCCAGTCTCTGGTGCCCTGCCACCACTTTTTGTCCGTGTTAGATGACTGTTAGGACATTATTTAGTGGAATCTGTGTTAAAAATGGTCACCCTGTTCTCCCATACAAATACCTCTACGAATATGTAAGAAAGAGGAATGAAGTACTTAGAAATATCTCCACCTAA